TAGAGAGGAGCAGCGGCAACGCAGAAGGTGCCGGCCGAGGAAGAAGCCAGAGAGACAGCCCCAATAAAATGTTGGGGGGGGCTAAAAGGGTGGTTGGCGGAGCCTAGTGTTAGAGACAGAGCCAACTCCCCGTACTCACGGGAGGAAGCGTGTGACTGGGCAGGCTCCGTGTTATGCGGAGCTACGTACTGTGTCGCCAGTGTGCCGGCACAGTCCTGTACGTCCTGTGCTAGCACCACGCACGTGTCGTGCGAAGATGGGCATTCAGCCAGGACGGGGTGTGCCGGCTCAACGCTCCTGGTCTCCAGTACGCCTCCTCGGTCCCGCATATCCTGCGGCTGTTCTACGAGATGTATCGCCAGTGCGCGTGCACAGCCCAGTGCGTCCTGTGCCAGCGCCCCGCATGTGTAGTGCGAAAGTGGGCAGCCAGCCAGGACGGGTTGTGCCAGCTCTCCGCTCCAGACCTCCAGTCCGCCTTCGCAGTCTGGTCCGGCCCGTTCCTGCTCCTCGCACCAAACCAGTGGTGCGTGTTCCCAGCCCGGCCCGGCCTGTTCCTGCTCCTCGCACCAAGCCAGTGGTGCGCGTCGCCAGCGCGGTCCGGCCTGTTCCTGCTCCTCGCACCAAGCCAGTGGTGCGCGTCGCCAGCCCGGCCCAGCCTGTTCCTGCTCCTCGCACCAAGCCAGTGGTGCGCGTCGCCAGCCCGGCCTGTTCCTGCTCCTCGCACCAAGCCAGTGGTGCGTGTTCCCAGCCCGGCCCGGCCTGTTCCTGCTCCTCGCACCAAGCCAGTGGTGCGTGTTCCCAGCCCGGCCCGGCCTGTTCCTGCTCCTCGCACCAAGCCAGTGGTGCGCGTCGCCAGCCCGGTCCGGCCTGTTCCTGCTCCTCGCACCAAGCCAGTGGTGCGCGTTGCCAGCCCGGCCCGGCCCGGCCTGTTCCTGCTCCTCGCACCAAGCCAGTGGTGCGCGATGCCAGCCCGGCCCGGCCTGTTCCTGCTCCTCGCACCAAGCCAGTGGTGCACGTCGCCAGCCCGGCCCGGCCTGTTCCTGCTCCTCGCACCAAGCCAGTGGTGCGCGTCGCCAGCCCGGCCCGGCCTGTTCCTGCTCCTCGCACCAAGCCAGTGGTGCGTGTTCCCAGCCCGGCCCGGCCTGTTCCTGCTCCTCGCACCAAGCCAGTGGTGCATGTTCCTAGTCCGGTTCGGCCCGCGCCTGCTCCTCGCACCAGACCAGTGGTGAGTGTGTCCAGTCCGGCACGGCCCGTGCCCGTTCCACCGGTGCCTGGTCCAGCACCAGTCAGCAGCTCCAGTCCGGAGCCAGAGCAGTCCGCTCCACCGGTGCCTGATCCAGCTCCGGTCAGCGGATCCACTCCGGAGCCAGAGCAATCCGCTCCACCGGGGTCCAGTCCAGCTCCGGTCAGCGGCTCCACTCCGGAGCCCGAGCAGTCCGCTCCACCGGTGCCTGATCCAGCTCCGGTCAGCGGTTCTAGTCCAGACCCAGACGTCAGCCCCTCTCCAGGTTCGGGGTCTCCCACACCAGGGTCCAGACAGGGCTTGGTACTTCGTGGGAGGAAGGAGAGGGGAAGCAGCGCGCCGAGGTCCAGACCAGACCAGGGGCGCAACAGGGAGGCGGAGAATAGGTGGTGGTCACGCCCGGAGCCGGATCCGCCTCCGAGGCGGAATGCCCACCCGGCCCCTACCATGTTATGTTTATGTGGCGCGGTCGGAGTCCGCACCTTTGGGGGGGGGGGGTACTGTCACGCCCTGACTCAGGGGACTCGTATATGTTGAGTCAGGGTGTGTATGTTCTATGTTATATATTTCTGTTGGTGTTCTAGTATGTCTATTTCTATGTTGGCCGGTGTGGTTCCCAATCAGAGGCAGCTGTCGCTCGTTGTCTCTGATTGGGGACCATACTTAGGCAGCCTTTTGGCACTAGTTAGTTGTGGGATCTTGTTCCAGTTAAGGTATGTTGTACTGTGCTGCCTTGGACTTCACGTTTCGTTTTGTTTGTTGTTTTGTCGCGGTGTTTAGGTCTGGGAGTTGACCAGAACAATAAAACTAGAAGGGACAGTGAAGAGACAGACACAGACAGGCAGAAAATGATAAGGGAGGAGGAGAGGTATTAATGGCAGATTCAGCAAGATGGCTAGACGCGATTCAAGCCAAAGACCTAAATACTCTGATAAACACTGTGACACACTGTGAAGCATGAGCCTCATCATCATTTCCTTAACATCCTCTATTATCTTATCCTATCATCCAGATCATATCATACATCTCATAAAGGCTACATCCTCTGGCATCTAAAATCATGATGCATTCCTTCAACCCTGACTCACATCTAACTCACATCTAAATGGGAATCACCACCATCGTTCCTCAACATCTCTTCTTCTCATGGAAAATAAAATGTAAGGCGCTGCTGATAAAAATAGATAAAGACAGAGGAGGAATGGAACGGCACTTCTCTATAGCTCATTTACCAGCAAACCGCTTAGTGAGGCCGTTGGCATTTCCGGGTCAGGCAGAGGGGTCAGTGTGACTATGGTTTATATTCTTTGTGACCGGTAAATAGGATAAGGGGAGGATCTCTCTCTGTGTGTGTGTGTGTGCTTTGCTCAGTGGTGGCAGACACCAAGGGGTGATTTACGTAAAGTAGTCCCCCCCCCCAGCCTGTGCAGTCACAGGCTGTTGACTCTGTCACATGAGACAGCGTTTCTTTATGGGAGGTAATCTGGATATTGAGTGGACATTATGAAGGCACAGGGGCAGAATAACAGGAAGCTGGGTCTTGACTAGGGCAGGAGAAGAGGGATGATGAGAAAAGAGAGGGAGGATCTCGCTCACTGAACAGTGGGGAAAGAAAGAAAGCCACAGTTCATTAACGAAAAGATGAGAGGCTGGAAAGAAAGAGCTGTTTGTGTGGTGGGTATTGGCTTGACTTTACTCAATCCCCTTCTCTCTCTCCCTTCTCTCCCTCCATCCCTCCCCCTCGTAGTGATGACAATGTCCTCTGCCTGGGCTCTCCGTCATCATCAGGCCAGCTGTCTAAACAGGGCATTTCCTGTTGCCCTCATGAACATTGTTGTTTCCTGTTCAACCCCCCTCTCTCTCCCTCCATCCTTCCATGGCGCTGATCAACCATAAACCCCCTCCCCCATAGACCTTGCACCTTGTAGTTATAGTAGGGAAAGCCTAGGTCTGCAGGAGCGCTGATATATGATCAGTTTAGCCTTTTAGATCATAATGAATAAGGTTATATAGACAGGGGTGAGCTGATCCTAGATCAGCACTGGTATTCTGATATGCTTTGTGAATATGAACAGGCCCTGGAACTGAAAAGCTATGATTGTCTCTTAGGTGTTCATTGCAGTTTTGATCTCTCGTAATAAGTTCTCAGAATAAACCATTAAACGTGTCTAAATCCGATCATTAAATTCTGCCACTGTGAAACGTATCAGCTGAATGATAACTGATCTTTCTAGAAAATGGCGAGGTATTCGAATCATCAGAGGAATTTAAAGATCAATCACACAGAACGAGCTGAAAATCCTCATACATTTTCCAATGGAGCATTGTCCTCTGCGCTCAATAATATCAGCCCTTTCCATAATGGGTGTCAGTGGTAATATGATATCCTGTTTAGATACGCGTCTACTGATTGGGACTCAGAGACTCAGACCAGGGTCGTCTCTGTCGTATCTGTCCTGTGATCATATCTGGGTAAGGAGACAGACAGTCTGAGCTGGGGGGCATCAGGGCCCAGCCCCCAGCACAGCCAATCCAGATCTGAACGTGCCGCAACCGTGACGCCTGCCACCCAATGACCCCGCAGGGTGCCGATAAAGCCCCAATCAGATCTCACCGGGCTGGGCGGGACTTGGTCCTAGTGCTGACTGTTGATTGGGTCGGAAGCGACACCTGACCCTGCTCTTCCTGAGGAAGGAGGCGGTTTAATGGTGGGATAATTTATTAAGCACCAAAAGGACACTCCCCCAGTGGACAAAGTATTAGGAACAGAGAAAGCAAATACATTATTTTTTTAACTGTTCCCTCTGAGGTCTCCACACAATGCCAGTCTCTCTGACTCACTCCCTACTATCACACACACACACACACACACACACAGTAGTACATCAGCTGCCCCTGTGTCTGTGTGACAGAGAACAGAGGTTGGGGAGGAAACTCCCTGTGGTGCGGCGTGGTGCAGTCATGGAGTGAGGGATAGCAGAGGCCGTGAGGTCCCAGATAAACTCGACCTATCAGCCGTGCCAGTCAGACCGGCAGCCCCTCCCACACATTTAGCATCCATACTCCTTACTTTATCTCCTGATTATAACACACGGCAGCGCTGCTTCCTAATGACCCGCCATGCAAACCTCATCCCCTCCTTCTCTTCCATAGGCAGTCACTGAAGCACAAGTGGTGGAGTGCATGTGGAGGAATCAGAGATGAATAGAACAGGAAAACAACACCCTCCATAGGCTAGGCTAGTCTGTAACCAAGAGGGTGATTGAATATGTGTTTCAGATCATGTATTATAGCGCTATTCTACCGAGCTCTTTGTATGTTGCCTAACATGTCTATGAATATATCTTGCTAATGATACTGTATATTGGGTTTTACTGTATTTAAGGGTTATGCATAAAACATTACGAGGAAATTCAGAATGAATTATTCATATGGTCATAATAGAGCTCTGTCAGCTCTCCTTGGTGTTCTCTTTTTATTGTACCTCTCGTCTTGTACACTCTTAGAAAAAAAGGTGCTATCTAGAACCTAAAATGGGTTCTTCTGCTGTCCCCATAGGAGAACCCTTTGAAGAACTGTTTTTGGCTCAAGGTAGAACCCTTTTCGGTTGCATGCAGAATCCTTTCCACATTATTGGCCATCATTGAAATCAAGAATTTTGTTCTAGACTGGTTAAATAAAGGTTCAATAAAATGTATGGTTCTAGAACATGTGACCTCTACTCTGTTTAACCAGGTTTTCCCCTTCTCTCCCCCAGCATCCCAGCAGACGTGTGAGCCAGTGGCGGTCCCTGAAAACCAGAATGCCTGGATCAGGGTGAGAGAGATGCTTCCAGGCTGCTGGACCAACTACACCACTCAGGACAGCAAAGAGGTTCACATCCTCAGCCTGCACTATACTACTGGGGTAAGGCAATCTACTGTATACAGTTTGTCTGTCCTAAACTACTGTGGAAGGCTTCCACTGCATTTCAATCGACCAGTATGCTCAGTCTGAAGATGTCCAGGATTAAGACACAGGTTCCAATATGCAGTACACTGATATGTGAGGTAATAGGATTTTACTGTAGTCATATTTTTTCAAATGACTGTAGCCATAGTTTTTCAAATAACACCATAGCATTAACTTTTCAAAATGTTCTGCATTGTTAGATTACATTCTGTAATATCTGGAGTCCATATAGTAGATAGCTACTGTAGCTCAATATAGCTGGAATGTTTGTCCCATTCCTGGGGGAAACATTGTTCTGGGAGAGTGTCTGTGTGAGATTGATACCAGATGAGCTTTAGCACACCAGGCTAGCTTTCTCATGAGATTGATGCCAGATGAGAGTTAGCACACTACGCTAGCTTTCTCATGAGATTGATACCAGATGAGCGTTAGCGTGCTAGGTTAGCTAGTTTTCCCATGTGGCTGAGAGTCAACATTAGGGACACCTCCTCTGGTTAGCCTGATAAGTGCAAACACATGCCAAACATAGCATGGAGCTGGGGTCGCCCCTGAGGTGAATGGTGTTCCTTACAGGCTTACACTACATACACAGTAGTGTGAAAACACACCACTGCATCCAACAGCCTGCATGGGGAATGGGGCTACGTGTGTGGAGTAGAGGTTGATGTCAAAAAGTTGTACCATAAATTGCAGTAGGATCAATTGGAAATAAATTGAGGAAACTGACCCTAGATCAGTGCTTAGGAGGACGAATGTAATCCTACACTGCTATTTCCTACGCAGACTTCATTTTTCATTTTCTGACAGTGTCTGGTCAGCACATATTAGTAATTTCTTTATAAGTGCTCTCTCTCTCTCGTCCTTCACTCTCTGTCTCTCTCTCTGTCTCTCTTTCTCTCTCCGTCTCTGTCTCTATCTTTCTCTATCAAACACACTCACGCACACACACACGCGCACACACACACACACACACTCGCACACACATACTCGGCACACACACACACGCACTACATTTCTCTCTCTCTCTCATTCCCTATTTAATATGAATTAAAGGGGGCTCACCCAGGAGTAGGTCTGTGTGGTATAAATTACCCATAAGTTACAGGGGGTGAGTAAATGAGTGTGTGGTTGTGCATCGGATGAGACGCCATCACAGAATGATACAGTATCTGAGGATGCCTGCCTGGATTCCTCACCTTAATGAAGGCTAAAGGAGGCCCTCGGCCTGCCTGCACTAAATCGAAAAATACTGGAAATCTCTTCCTGTTTTCCTCTGCTTCTCTCTCTGGCAGACGTCCTAGAAAACAACTAGAACATGCAAACTTTTTCTTAACCATGTTTTTATGTACACAGCTAAACAAAGACAGATTTCTTCCAAGAATGGTCTTAGAGTGGATCAAGAAAGAGAAATGTGGTGTAGAAGAAGTGTTAGCTCTTTACTGCCAGGTTTTATGAAACACGAAAAGATTGGAGAGGATGAACACAAAGGCTGTAGTTTGTCTGGAGCTGGAGGGTGCCGTGTGATCCCGTGGACATTCCACAGAGCAAACATATCCTGTTCTCCTGTGGGACCAGGCTGAATGTTTGGAATTGGAGAGTGAGGGTTCATGCCATTTCTCAACACACACAGCCTTATCACTCCCTTTACTGCATCAGTTTGGGGCAGTGCTGAAAATGTACGATTTGGAAGGCTTGGAGGCTTTGTTTATCCTCAGACACAAAGCAGGGGTATGTCCTTGGCTGAAGGCAAAATTACCAGTGGATGGAAAGGAGAGTTGTTATTCTCTCTCTCGCTCTCTCTCTCCTCTGTTTTTAGCAGTTTGATTTAGGGTTTTATAGAGTAGTTCACTGCTCACCTGCATGCACTCCACACAGACAGAAAAACAAATCACTCCTCCCTAAGCAAAAGAGTTCACGTGGCCTTCCCCCCTCCCAGCTCCCCATCACCCCTGAACTCCCCTCACCCCCTGCCAGGATTCAACCCTGACCATTCCTCAATTTCCACTGTAAACAACTATGATGGAATATTAGGCCACCTAAAGAAGGGAGGTGGGGACAAAGGTGTTTGTGGAAGGGAGGGGTCATATGGGAAGTGTGGCTGCCTGGCGGCTTGTGTATGGGTTCAGCATGGGAGGGGGATGGAAGGACAAGAGGGAGAGAAGGGAAGATGGAAGGCAGGAGGGCTGGACAGGGCAGGAGGGGAGGCGCTTGTCCAGACCCCAATGATGTCACATTCTGGCACGGGCATTGGCTCACAGCCTAGACTGGACCGTCGGAGCCAGCTCGGGTTAGGGGAGAGAGACAAAGAATAACGGGAAGCTGTTATGCACCAGCAAAAGCCCTCGAGAGAAAAAAAAAGTCTGAGGAGGAAAACAATTGTATCTTGAAAGCACAGGAACAAAAATAGCAAGGGCGAGCGACCAGAGACGACAACGTGCATTGTTCCAACTTATAGAGTATGTTGGAGAGAGTGATGGAGAAAGTAAGAAGAAGAAGCAATGACAGTTATTTTATAAAGACCATTGAGTTTTGGTTAAAAGTGAAATTACAGTTTTTTCCCAACTGATTTGCTTGCGTAAATCCTGTTGACTCATACAGTATATTAGTCACAGACACATCCTTGACTCTATTGACTCAAACTGAGTGAATAGTGAATAAGTTGTCCATACCAGACTGATACACTGTCAGACAACTGGGAAAATGAGTCACACATTTACTGTATACGGTGTGATTTGCTAGAACACTCATGGAATAACGATAGGATTCATAGCAATAGGATTCTCAACCCCAAACTATTTCCAACCAGGATAACAGCTCATCTAAGACCCTACTATGTTTCATTGAAAGGGAAGTGTAAAGTCTAGTTGTCAGCAAAGTACATAGTCTAAACAATGGCCACTTCACTTGTTGGAGGCAACAAGAGGCCAATTTATATAATGAACAGCAGAAGAAGAGAACATGTATCTCTCAGCTGACTGGTTATTGAGTAATCCTGCTTCTTCAAGGTATTTCAGGAGGCATTCTCTGAGTTTCGATGATAAACATATACTGACACTATTGAAAAGACTAGGCAAGCGGCGTACTTTAATGCTCTGAGATGATAGACAGTGGCAAGGGAAACTGATAATTTAATCAGTTAGACTGTTTGCCTGCAGCTTGGTCTGACTCCTTGTCAGTAATTCACACACGCATGCACACACACACACAATCCGCAAGTAGATTTTGTTTGATGAGTGAGTGTCGAATTTGGTCAACACATTTTTTTTCTCGTAATGCTTAGGAGTGTACTGATATAAGTAGGACACGTGACATCCCGGCAACTTTGAGAAAAACACTTTGTATCAGTTTTCTCAAGATGGCTATGCATATTCATGGCATGAGGCTAGTAGCATAGCATCTCTCTCCATTGAATACAGGCAGTTGACGTCAACAACCCTCATAGAATATTCAAAAAATTAAATAATTAAATTGATCCACCAATCCAAAGAAAGGATAGGCGGGAGCTAGACAGCCTGCCGTGCCGCTTTGTAGACAAGGACTCCCATTGTTAGGGCGGAGAGACATGTATCTTGTCAGTATATCCATAATCTTTGACGAAGGTTTGTCTGTGGATCGGAGATGATCACAGGTGTGTTCTGTGAAGATGATTAATAGAAAAGAGGAGTGAGTCAATTAAGGTGGACAGAGGGGAGATGATATCAAACTGCCTATTGGTCACACTAAATGAGTGTGTGTGTGTGTGTGTGTGTGTGTGTGTGTGAGAGTGAGTGTGCATACATGGACACAGCATCTGTTGCTCTCTTACATCCACAACACACTGCTGGTCCTGCCTGGCCTGTTTACAGCAGCTATCGTGGTGTGTTGTCTGTCTGTTTGTGTGTGTGTGTGTGTGTGTGTGTGTGTGTGTTGAACATGGCCCTTGCGGAGGCCTTGTGTATTAGCCCAGTGGTAGGCCTCAGACAATACACTGGGGGGCTCCTCCCACCAGCTCCAAACATCAGGGGTCCAACTTTTCCACCTAGGCCCCTTGCCTCAGCTCAGCGTGGCCCTGTCAGAATGCACGCTGTCAACAGCAGGCAGCAGACGATCAATTTAATAAGAGCGAGCATAGACAAACAGAAAGACACCGTGTTCCTCAGCACCCTCGCACAGTACTCTCCACGCAAAGAACCAAGGCCAGCAGCCAAGAGAATCTAGCTCCAAACAAGCAAGCGTTCAGAGATTTTTATAAAAATCGCTTTGAGAGGCTTTAAGACGGGATAAAAGCGGCTTTTTGTTCATATTAATAGTTAATTCCCCAAAAGCTCCTCTTCAGAACTGTATTTTGGAGGTATTTAAGTACTGTCGTCCACTTCAGTATTTTAACAACAAAATGGGATTCACAAAGTAAAAACTGATTAAATTAAGGTAATTCATTGGCAAGTTGAAAACAGAATATAAATATCCTTTCTTCCTCTTTTCTTTTTCTTCTTTGTTGCTCTTTGTAAACTTCACTGGCTTACAATGCATTCTTCACTTACCAGGTAAATATTGCAAGAACATATTTGACTTACCTAAAGCTGAAGCCCAACACTGTTCACCTGTTGTCCACTGTGGTATGAACTGTGAACTAGAATATGCTTATCTGACTACCAGCCTGCTGAATCCTGATGCAGCCTAGTGGAGCTGTGCTTTGTGCGCTAAGCGTGTGTCGGGGCCACTGCCACTCAGATAGAGACTGTCTAATCTCCTCTAGGACCACTGAGGCAGATAGTGTACAGGAGGGCATTGATGCACGTCTTGTCCTCTCTCTGTCAGGGCTTGGAGTCAACTGCAGGGGGCTGGCAAGGTGGACATGTTGACTCTGCTGTCACCGGAGAGGGGAGAAGAGATTAGTGGAGAGGATATGGCTAAGCCTCTCACCTCTGTTCCTACTGGTACTCCAAGCCTCACCTCCACTCCTCCTGGTACTCCAAGCCTCACCTCCACTCCTCCTGGTACTCCAAGCCTCACCTCCACTCCTCCTGGTACTCCAAGCCTCACCTCCACTCCTCCTGGTACTCCAAGCCTCACCTCCACTCCTCCTGGTACTCCAAGCCTCACCTCCACTCCTCCTGGTACTCCAAGCCTCACCTCCACTCCTCCTGGTACTCCAAGCCTCACCTCCACTCCAAAAATGCAGAATAGTGTTAAATGCCTTGGGGACAAAAATGATGTCCCAGATTTAATCATGTAATATTAGGCATACCAGTGTGTGCCCAGTGGGTATCTACTTGCGAGCTACTCATTGACAGCCCACGAGCTACCGGACATGCAATTTTCTACTAAGGTGGAACCTTTGGTAGGCTGATGTGAAGGCTACTCAGAGCCATTGGACATGAAACAACGATACAAATGTAGATAAACAATTTTCTTTTGCAGGTGCCTTTTCATTTTAAACACCAGTGGTGCAACTAGTGCTTTCTAATTGCACTGAACCAAAACAGTGGCGCACAGGAGCGAATAAATACTTGAGTGGTCAAAACCATTCATCTTGAGGCGACGGGGTGCAAAATACAATCTGTTAATTATTATATCATATATAAAATTGACTTATATATTTTAATACAAAAACATGCGTTTGCACCCCTATTTTGAAATTGGGGATGCAGCTGCTCCGTTTGCTCCATTGCTCAGGGCCTATGCTGGTACCCCAAGCCTCTCACCTCCACTCCTCCTGGTACCCCAAGCCTCTCACCTTCACTCCTCCTGGTACCCCAAGCCTCTCACCTCCACTCCTCCTGGTACCCCAAGCCTCTCACCTCCACTCCTCCTGCTACCCCAAGCCTCTCACCTTCACTCCTCCTGGTACCCCAAGCCTCTCACCTCCACTCCTCCTGGTACCCCAAGCCTCTCACATCCACTCCTCATAGTACCCCAAGCCTCACAGCAAGAACTGGTGCTGGACTGGGATCACTGGTGTTGGATTGGATGAATGAGCTGGTCCCACCAGTGTTGTGCTGGTTTGTCTGTAGTATTGGACAGGTTTTGCTGTAGACTGTTCCTCTGCTATAAACTCCTTGGCAGCCCTAGCCATCAAAACGGTCAGCCAACACCTGCCACTTGGGATGAATATGTCATATTTCCACATTACACAGTGATTTATAGTAGCTAACTTTCCCATTACTAGAGAGACTACGTAATGTTTTGTGTCTCATATTAGCTGATGCTATCAAATCACACAAATGACACCTACCATCAACGGAATCTTTCGCATCTTGTTGTCTCTGGAATTGAAGAAGTGAGGAAAGCGGTACATAATTTAGCATGCGGGCCGTCCTTCGATTTTTCATGTATTGTCCTGAAGTGAAGGGAACAGAAATGGGCTTCTCTCAATGACTTTCTCTGTGGGAGAGACAGAACACAATAGAAACCCTTGTGTTGAGCTGTCAGGCAACATTCCAATCCCAAACCCGGTCCTTTCAAAATAAATTAAAGGTGTTAGATTAAATTTGTGTCCCGAGAACACCATGTGTTACCCCACCATACGATCATTACATTGCAGTGTGGAGTCATTGTATTTTAAATGATGCTGTGCGCTGACTCTGTGAAATGGAATAACACTGTTGAAGGAGAAGTCGATTTTTCAACATGGAAGTGTGGAATCCATATACGAATGAGAGGAATAGATTGGGAACCAGGTTTTGTGTGCTTGTGTGTGTGTGTGTGTGTACAGTATGTACTAGTCAGTCAGGCAAACATGGTAGCATTCCAGTAAGCCTTATCTTACAGTGGGGAAAAAAAGTATTTAGTCAGCCACCAATTGTGCAAGTTCTCCCACTTAAAAAGATGAGAGAGGCCTGTAATTTTCATCATAGGTACACGTCAACTATGACAGACAAAATGAGGAAAAAAAATCCAGAAAATCACATTGTAGGATTTTTTATGAATTTATTTGCAAATTATGGTGGAAAATAAGTATTTGGTCAATAACAAAAGTTTCTCAATACTTTGTTATATACCCTTTGTTGGCAATGACACAGGTCAAACGTTTTCTGTAAGTCTTCACAAGGTTTTCACACACTGCTGCTGGTATTTTGGCCCATTCCTCCATGCAGATCTCCTCTAGAGCAGTGATGTTTTGGGGCTGTCGCTGGGCAACACGGACTTTCAACTCCCTCCAAAGATTTTCTATGGGGTTGAGATCTGGAGACTCCAGGACCTTGAAATGCTTCTTACGAAGCCACTCCTTCGTTGCCCGGGCGGTGTGTTTGGGATCATTGTCATGCTGAAAGACCCAGCCACGTTTCATCTTCAATGCCCTTGCTGATGGAAGGAGGTTTTCACTCAAAATCTCACGATTCATTCTTTCCTTTACACGGATCAGTCGTCCTGGTCCCTTTGCAGAAAAACAGCCCCAAAGTATGATGTTTTCACTCCCATGCTTCACAGTAGGTATGGTGTTCTTTGGATGCAACTCAGCATTCTTTGTCCTCCAAACACGACGAGTTGAGTTTTTACCAAAAAGTTATATTTTGGTTTCATCTGACCATATGACATTCTCCCAATCCTCTTCTGGATGCACTCTAGCAAACTTCAGACGGGCCTGGACATGTACTGGCTTAAGCAGGGGGACATGTCTAGCACTGCAGGATTTGAGTCCCTGGCGGCGTAGTGTGTTACTGATGTTAGGCTTTGTTACTTTGGTCCCAGCTCTCTGCAGGTCATTCACTAGGTCCCCCCGTGTGGTTCTGGGATTTTTGCTCACCGTTCTTGTGATCATTTTGACCCCACGGGGTGAGATCTTGCGTGGAGCCCCAGATCGAGGGAGATTATCAGTGGTCTTGAATGTCTTCCATTTCCTAATAATTGCTCCCACAGTTGATTTCTTCAAACCAAGATGCTTACCTATTGCAGAGTCAGTCTTCCCAGCCTGGTGCAGGTCTACAATTTTGTTTCTGGTGTCATTTGACAGCTCTTTGGTCTTGGCCATAGTGGAGTTTGGAGTGTGACTGTTTGAGGTTGTGGACAGGTGTCTTTTATACTGAAAACAAGTTCAAACAGGTGCCATTAATACAGGTAACGAGTGGAGGATAGAGGAGCCTCTTAAAGAAGAAGTTACAGGTCTGTGAGAGCCAGAAATCTCGCTTGTTTGTAGGTGACCAAATACTTATTTTCCACCATAATTTGCAAATAAATTCATTAAAAATCCTACAATGTGATTTTCTGGATTTTCTTTTCTCAATTTGTCTGTCATAGTTGACGTGTACCTATGATGAAAATTACAGGCCTCTCTCATCTTTTTAAGTGGGAGAACTTGCACAATTGGTGGCTGACTAAATACTTTTTTTCCCCACTGTATCTGTCATAGTACATTTTATACCACTTATCAAGAGACAGTCATGAACAAAGACATTGCCCCTTATGGAAGGTCTATAGGGTGACCAAAATGAGAACAGATTAGGTCTCAGAATCCTACAGTAGACATTGCCTTCCCCAGTGTGACCCTGTCCAAAAAGCGCCAGAGGACAAAACAAATGTTTATGCCGCTTGATTTCTTTTCTTCCTAATCACAACAAAGTTCCTGTGGGAATTTACGCCACCACTACTTCCCCTGCCAGCCATACATGTTGTTTATGCTATATTGACTGTACATATTATGCATGCCGCTGTTTTGAATGTACAGCCATTGTTGATGTGGTGATGATGTTGATGTGTACTGTACACTCAGATGGTGGAGGGGGGTTAAACTTGTTTTTCTGAAGCTAACAAACTCAAATTGTGAATTGTGACAAACATTTACTTTGTGTTACAGTCATCATCACATTTTTCCTGAAGTTTAACTTGATTAATCTGTCTTCTCTAGGCTCCCACCATGTTTGATTTGAACATGACCACTGCCCAGCCAATGCACCTCATCATCACCACAGACTCAGAGCAGATCACATACACTGCGGCCCATGCTAACACGGATGTCAGCTTTTACGTAAGTACCACCTCTCCTTATGTAATTGTTGCCTTTTGCCTCCTACTTGTTTCCTTAGGGGTTTGCATCTGTTAGTGTAAGAGCAATACTTTAAGTCAGTGTATAAAGAGTACATGAAAATATCTATGCAAATTATTATTCCAGAAATATTACACTAGCTGGGAGGAAAGTAGATGCTGACTTCAACGTCTTAGGCTATTAGACTTAAACCTAAATGCCCGATAGCCTCTGTTGCAATAGAGAAGGATCTCAGTAGGTATGATTGCATTGAAACTGATAGCTGGCTAATGGGAGCTTGGTGAGGGCTGGGAGTCTAGCCTGGCATTTGTCCTGTTCCTGCCAGCTGAGCTGCTCTGCTCTGTGTAGCTCTAGTGTTTGGAGCCTGGGAGGGAGGGGGGTTGGGGGGGGGGGGGGGGGGTAGAGCCTCACTGCCAGGCCTCCCTACTTCCATAGTTAACCAGGAGAGAAATGCTTTCCTGCAGGCCCAGATTGGCCAGCTGTATGACAAAGAACCAGCCACTGCTGTGCAACCCCCCGGGCCAGTTTGGAGAAGCAATTACCCTTGTTAGTTTTCTGGACCTGTGTGTATTTTATATATGGAAAACATAATAAAAAGGGTCTTAGAGTGTGTTGGAGTAGGGAGTGATCAGAACAAGCTAATACCCACTGGGAACAAACTGATTGAATCAACGTTGTTTCAAAATAATTTGTCAATGTATTGGGACGTGGAATCTACGTGGAAAAATCATTGGATTTGAAAAAAGTCACCAATGTAAATTGTTGTTTTTAGGGTGAAATTTCAACCACAGGATTCTGTCATCATTGTAACCAATTTTCAAAATAGACAAACCTTGTATAAATTATGTTGAATTTGTACCTTTGAAACAATGTCAGATCTTCAATGTTGCATCCACTATCAGAAAAAAACAATACGCTATGTAGCACCTCCTACTGAAGTCTATCTACAGCTATTAATTTGGTCTCCCATCCATGCTTTTCGCAAAGTCCAGCCGTGCTTAGCTTCGACAAAACATTGTCACTGACTCCTACCAATGTGCTATCGTGAGAATGATTATTGAGAGATCTCTTAATAACAAAATATATTCACTGTTGCTATCAAAGTCATTCCAAAGGGTAGGTTTAACAGAGCAAATGAAATGTAACCATACTTTATCAATCATATATCATCAATAGCATTTGCAAAGTCAACAACATTGTTTCAATTCAATCCAGGGTTAAACTAAAAATAGACAATACATATAGGCCTAGGGTTTCAAGCTTTGGTTGATTTCAAATTTGTCTACAAATTAATAATCTGATATGTTGGATTCAAGTCTCCATCTCAAACAAAAATCAAAGTTAAAGAATATGATTAAGTCAAATCAAACTTTAAATACACTTTAAATAATATATTCTTTAACTTCAATGTTTGGTTGAGATGTAGACGTGAATCCAACATATTAATTATTGTAGTCAAACTGGAATTAAAGCCAGACTAAATATACATCTCCTTCAAATGTTGATATATTGTTGAGTTGTCAACCAAACACAATTCAATAATACTTTTGTTATACAGTAAATAGCCTAAAGCTAAGGCTATCTTACAATCTAATGTTACAGTATTTATTCAAACTTAAATTGAGTAACATCCATGGCCACATTGAGGTTAGCCTACTGTAACTATAAATGTCTTCTTATGTAATCATAGAACGCGTGCTTGTTCAAGATGATAGCATGCAAAGGTCGGCAGGTCTGTGGAGATCTTCACAATTGCTATAATAGTCTGTGCAGAATCTCGAACGGCATTGATCACTTGCACTACGTGCTTTTAATGTAATCTCAACTGCAATCCAGGTTGTTTGGTCATTAGATGAAGAACATTGATAACACATCAAATTGTATAAATACAAAATATCTGACATTGTATACCCATTTGAACTTTGTTGTGCTTTTAAATGATTGAAAGCATAGTGATAACACATTGGGAATTCAACAAACTTCTGGCTGTCATTTTGAGTAGGTGAATAAACATCTCAACAAAATATTACCCACATTTCCACGTTTAAATGACGTAGTGTGCCCAGTGGGTAGTCTCAGTCATACTGGGGATGTATAGTGTTATAGTGGAGACATTAACTTGAGTATTGTGTTGTTCAATCAACCCAGAAAGAGAGGACTCCAGAGGAGAGATTGTACATCTCAAAGGGTTTCGTCTTGTCAAAAGAATTTTGGAAATTAAGCAGAAGGGAAAGTGTGCATCTCTAGGACTGATAGGATGTTTTGTTTGGAAGTTTGAGTAAATTATATTGTTAGTGATTTGGGATCCCTGCCTGGGAATTTAACCACCCCTTGTCTGCAGGCATCCATACTCTTAAAACAGAACTCTTGCTTTTCATCACAATGAACATAAGTACCAAGCTGAGAGTTCAGACAAAGTCCACAGCCCAAGCATCCTCTTATTGAGCTCTGCTTCTCACACAAGGGGTAAAATAAATAACTTTGTCTTTTATCTATTTCGACCCTCTAGTCTCTGTTTAAGTTGGCCATATCAACTTCTCAATAACCTTCCATGATAATAGGACGTTTACAACACTGTCAGCAGTCTGTGGTATAGCCTTTCATGTCCTGCAGAGAGGGAGAACATTGCACATGAAGAGGGGATGTTTTTGTGGGATGGAAGGATGGGATAGTGTGTAGTGGATCACTGGGGAGTGTTACCATTTTAATGGAAGAAAATAGCATCTGTGTGTCTGAGGAAGTGCGTCACGAGGCTGACAGATCTGCTGGGTACTTGCCTAGTGTTATATCCAGCTGTGACTGGGACAGGGACAAGTCACCACACACACTCAGATGGGACCGAGTACATTTGCGTACATTCACAAAAAGCCACCAACCTGTGGGTTCAACATCAAGGTTTAAGGTCTCTCAACCTCAATTGTCCCTCATCAAATCCTCACTGTTTTAGAACTTGACGTTAGTTCCCTATCTAATATGGGGTGGTTTACCATTACACCAAGTCATAATACACAGTGGTCTCTCTCCCTACTATGTTATGTAAGAGTTAATGACCCCTCTGGAATTGTCCCCCGAATGCCCTCGTGGAGACAGTTCAGGATGCGTCTTTGGAGCCAAAGGGACAGAGACAGACAGACGGACAGACAGGCGAGTGGCCTTGACCCGAACCTAATCTCTGTTGGATGGGTGCCTGTTCTAAACAGCCCACCAGATAGCTCTCTCTGACAGAGACGTATATCCCCCCAACTCCTTGCTCATTTAGCCCCTCTGGATCAGGCCAAGGGAAGGAAGTCTAATCTGAGAAGTTTCTGGAAGCGCCAGTAGACGGAGCCACTCCTTGCTCTGACTACTTCCTGTCGTGTGATATGTCCCTGGTTCTGTGCCATGTCGAACTCTGACCCCAAGGACAAAATTCCTGTCAATATAGTTCCTTCTCTCATTCATTGATCCCTCTCACTCTTTTTCTCTCTTCCTGACTTACTCCCTTCTCCGCCCCCCCTCCTCTCCCTCAATTGTGATGTGTTTTATTTTCTCGTCCTCGTAGTTTCTCGTCTTTGTATTTCGATCCAACCTAAACCAAATATACACACATGAGAAGGACCAATCAATCACACAGGTTTTCTTGTCTTTCAGCAGAGCATTCTGGCTGGTTGTGTGGGGTCTGGCTGCAGCCGGCAGGCCTTCACACACACACACACACACACTGACCGTTAACATGGAGGTCCAGAGAGAAAACAATCAGTGGTCTTTTTTTCCAGCCCTCAGTTTTCAACCTAACACCTAGATCACCAGGAAATACATGGACTTTGTTCCTCCAACTCCAAACTCATTGCAAACTCAATGGCTGCTGCTCTCTCCCCCTCCCCTAGCCTCTTCTTGGCAAAACACTGAGCACATACCTCTTGTGAGTTTGTGCAATGCAGCATAGCTAATTGTGTTTGTTGTTGTTTTCATGATATCCATTATCATGAAATTAATTGTAGTAACACAGCAGACCTATTTAAGTCCTCCCATTCCAGAACAAGATGTCCATCTGTGTGCTACAGTAACTGGAATGCAACGGGAATAGCTATGAGAACATTGATGGGGGAGAAAATGAAACAATTGTTGAGACAGGATCCAAAGGGAAATAGATATCTGCTCCATCCATCCATCTGCTCTGTATAGTATATAAATTGACTAGTCTCTTGGGCTATTAAAAAAAAAAATGCTTTTAGAAGTATGGTTGTCTTTTTACGACTCAGGGTTGGGATCAATTCTGAATTGAGTCCGAATTTCTCTTTAATTCCAATTCAATTCTTGAATTTGAATTGAATTTCAATTGGCCACACCCCACAGGAAGCAGAATTTGAATTTGAATTAAAGGAAGTAGAATTTAATTCAATGAAATTCAAATGGCTAATTTATCACTATACATATGTTTATTTTGACATATGGTGACCAATACTATGTAAAACATATGGATGAAACATTAGATTTCTAAAGACTCACTCTCCTTACATGCATTTTAAAGAATGACAGTAGTCTGGAAATATTCTAAGATCCTTTTGTAGGTTTATAATAATTCATAATTCACTTACATATTATTAAAAATAACCAGAATGCATCGAACACTACAGAATGGAAGGGATCAACCTAATCTAATGAGAAAAAAAGAAAAAAAGACTGTGACAATAATATTTGAAATGGTATCTGTATTCTTTGCAGTAATAAGTGGCAGATGTTTTTGGTAAAAAATGTGTCAAAGGAATTAGACTTTCATGCTTAATGTCTCAGTTGAATTTCTTTGAATTGTTTTAAATTAAATTATGCTCCCTTTCATTTCAAAGTCTGCTTCCTGTGGGGTGTGTCCAATTAAAATAAAAATGTCAATGAATGGGTTGAATTGAATTAAGAAATTATGAATTGATCCTAACCCTTGCGCGACTCTTAGGTTACACTGAAACGTCACGTAACTGCCCCATTACAGTAGACCCCCTACTTGAGTGATTCATCTACAGTCCATTATTCCCCTGGCCTGGCCGGGGAACAGGGGAACGTGTGCTGTGGTGTGTATGCGCTAGGCTGGATGTATATATTTATACCCGTATGGAGCCAAATTCCAGCCGACTCCACTGACGCACAGAGTTAAAAAGGTCCCATTTCCCAGCCCCACTCAGGAAGCAAAGGAAAGACCTTGGCTCCAACGGGGTTGTGCAACCAGGCTCGTGGACACTTTACCATAATAAACATTCCTTTTCAAATGGCCCTGCTCTGCTCAGAGAATAAAGAGAGGGAGAGAGAGAGAGATGGAGGGAGAGAGAGAGAGATGGAGAGAGAGAGAAAAAAAGAGAGTGGGAAGGAGAGAGATCAATAGACAGACAGAAAGAGGGAGAGAGGGAGGAGGGTGAGGAAGAGGGAGGGGGGCATGCTTTAATGTGGCTGTTGTCAGACACATTGGGCAAACATGAGGTAGCAGGCTCTAAATAAGGCGCTGACACACCCGATTCTACGGTAACAATGAGCAGACAAACAGAGCTGTCTGGCCCTCCTAGAGGTATAGTAGCTTAATGACTTAGGGTCATATATAAAAAAGAATCCCTCCATGTACATAAAGGAAATGAAAAAGAATGGAGTGGATCATGTTAACAGACAGATTCAATCAAACTTGCCTTGTACATGTAGTGTATTTGTTTATAAACTACTGCCTAAGCACACACCTCTTTAAGAAAACTGGAAGAATCTACTTGTGAGAATAACCTGAGAATAGTAGTTAATAAGTAGTTTGTACATTTTACAGCAGCCTCCCCAATACTATTCTATGATTTAGTTTGGCCAGGGGTCAAAGAGCTACTGTGTATCATTATTGCAATACAGGTTCAATTGAATTTAACCCATAGTATCAGAATTTGGCATGCAATAATAGATAGATGGTCAAAGAGTCTTGAAATTAAATGTCTAATGTATTTTCCTTTACTCACCAGGTGGCCGATGACTCCAAAATGAGATTGATTGGTCTAAATGTCAACGTCCAGAAAAAAGCCCTTCCCACAGACAATGAAGATATAGTGAGGTGGGCCACCGAGAAGTTTGGTGGGGTGACGTCTTTCACCACCGTCCAGAACCCAAGTAGCATCGCTTCCACAGGGAGAGAGGGTGAGACAGTCAGATACATACAACGTACCTCAAACGTACACAATTCACAAGTCTGTTTTGTTAAGATAAACTATGGTGGAAGAATGACAGATAACGTAACACATCTGAATAATACATCGTAATGATTTTACAGGAACAAAACTCCTTCCAACTGGCTCCAACAACTGTACTCTTGAAAACGAATGGCAGGCGCTCAAGCACTATCTGAAGTTAGAATCAAACATACGCTTGCTCAAATCCTGCTCGAACCAGCCTCCCGACAGCCACACTGAGAAAGAACTGTACATCGTCAACATCCCTGAGGATGTCAGCATTCGGTAAGACACCGAAGAGTCTCTTGGCAGAAAACATTAGCAACACTTTCCATGATAGTGGCATTATATAGGTGATTGTAATGTGTGTTGGTGCTCTTGAACTGTAAAGTAACATACTATTTTGTTGTTCCAGCAATGTCTCTGTGCACGTCATCAGTGAGCGGTAGATCAGTCTGTTCCTAAAGGGAACCTCAGTTGGTACCCATGTGGGAGCATCCATGACCCACAGCACACCAGCTTCTCTGTAAGCACTGGACAACATCTACAGTTGGCTAAATTGTAGTATCAATGTCTGAAACTGAATCACCAATGACTCAGATATTTTACCTGCATTTTTCTGGTGTTCATTTCATGCCCAGTTCAGTATGCATGCATAACTGGGATTATTCTCTATGACTGACAAAGTTGTCCTATAAAGTTGTCCTCTCTACTATAAATGGTTAATTTGATCTCTTCCCTCTCTCTCTCTCTCTCTCTCTCTCTCTCTCTCTCTCTCTCTCTCTCTCTCTCTCTCTCTCTCTCTCTCTCTCTCTCTCTCTCTCTCTCTCGCTCAGTCCAACAACGTGATCTTGCTTGCTGCCACCAGCATGATGCATAGGATCCCTCCCACGGTCACCATCTCCACAGACAATGCTGATGCTGTACAGAAGAAGGCCTTGGACCATTTCAGAGCCAGTACCATCACCAGCTACTCTGAGATCCGAACCGAGGGCACCATGGTCACACTGGTCCTGGGGAATAAGGACCACACTCCAGGTAAGATACAGCTAGAGTCACAGTAAGCACAGTACTATTAGTATTTAACAAGGATAGAATGACTAGGGAGTTGTGTTTAGACACCGTTCCTGTCAGTTTTCTGTACTCTTGACCATATTTTTTGATAATGTAAACAGTAAATGCAAATTCAGATGTAGAGTGACCAGTTCTACAAGCATAAATGCTCATACTGTTGTTTGGTATAAATGGTGCAAAACTGCAATAAAAATATGCTTTAGTAAGCTTTCTCAGTAATTGGTAGCGAACACTATGACATTGTTGCCAGCTAGCTCCTGTACTAGACTAGCCCTGTAGTAGACTAGCCCTGTACTAGAATAGCCCTGTACTAGAATAGCCTTGTACTAGACCAGCCCTGTACTAGAATAGCCCTGTACTAGACTGGCCAACATTATTATTATTATTATTATTATTATTATTTAGGGTTAGGGTTTTTATTAACTCATCAGTTCAACTAATCTATATGGTGCACCTATCCTGTAGTATCCTGTACAAATGGATTCTCACTGTCGGGTGATTTTTGTGTCTTGCTGTCTCAGTCACAGAGGCTGCACCAACCGAGACCACCCCATCGCCCCCCAGCCCTCCTCAGATGCCTCTGCTCATGCAGCTGTACACCTCTCCAGACTACCGCTCCCCTATGGACCCCAACACCAAGGTGCAGAGCGACAAGAGGATCTACGCAGAGGTGAGAGACCTTTTATTTATTTCACTCCAGCACCCTCCCGCTCTTAGTAATCCGCTCCCAGTTCCTCAGCCGTCCCACATTCAAATCAAATCACATTTTATTTGTCACATGCGCCGAATACTACAGGTGTAGACCTTACCGTGAAATGCTTACTTATAAGCCCTTAACCAACAGTGCAGTTCAAGAAATATAGTTTTTTTTACTAAATAAACTAAAGTAAAAAATAACAAGAAAATGACATAACAATAACGAGGCTATATACAGGGGGTACCGGTACCGAGTCAATGTGGGGGGGGGGGGGGGGGGGGTGTACAGGTTAGTCGAGGTAATTTGTAAAGTGACTATGCATAGATAATAAACATCTCACCCCCTAAGCCCACACCTTCACAACTGCACGACTCCTAACACAGAGAACAAACATCTCTTTAATAGTATGGCAATCTAGACAGGTATTAATGTTTGGGAGAGGACTTTTTAGAGAATAATTTTGATAGTATCGTACTACTTACAGTGGGGGAAAAAAGTATTTAGTCAGCCACCAATTGTGCAAGTTCTCCCACTTAAAAAGATGAGAGAGGCCTGTAATTTTCATCATAGGTACACGTCAACTATGACAGACAAAATGAGATTTTTTTTCTCCAGAAAATCACATTGTAGGATTTTTAATGAATTTATTTGCAAATTATGGTGGAAAATAAGTATTTGGTCAATAACAAAAGTTTCTCAATACTTTGTTATATACCCTTTGTTGGCAATGACACAGGTCAAACGTTTTCTGTAAGTCTTCACAAGGTTTTCACACACTGTTGCTGGTATTTTGGCCCATTCCTCCATGCAGATCTCCTCTAGAGCAGTGACGTTGTGGGGCTGTCGCTGGGCAACACGTACTTTCAACTCCCTCCAAAGATTTTCTATGGAGTTGAGATCTGAAGACTGGCTAGGCCACTCCAGGACCTTGAAATGCTTCTTACGAAGCCACTCCTTCGTTGCCCGGGCGGTGTGTTTGGGATCATTGTAATGCTGAAAGACCCAGCCACGTTTCATCTTCAATGCCCTTGCTGATGGAAGGAGGTTTTCACTCAAAATCTCACGATACATGGCCCCATTCATTCTTTACTTTACATGGATCAGTCGTCCTGGTCCCTTTGCAGAAAAACTGCCCCAAAGCATGATGTTTCCACCCCCATGCTTCACAGTAGGTATGGTGTTCTTTGGATGCAACTCAGCATTCTTTGTCCTCCAAACACGACGAGTTGAGTTTTTACCAAAAAGTTATATTTTGGTTTAATCTGACCATATGACATTCTCCCAATCCTCTTCTGGATCATCCAAATGCACTCTAGCAAACTTCAGACGGGCCTGGACATGTACTGGCTTAAGCAGGGGGACACGTCTGGCACTGCAGGATTTGAGTCTCTGGCGACGTAGTGTGTTACTGATGGTAGGCTTTGTTACTTTGGTCCCAGCTCTCTGCAGGTCATTCACTAGGTCCCCCCGTGTGGTTCTGGGATTTTTGCTCACCGTTCTTGTGATCATTTTGACCCCACGGGGTGAGATCTTGCGTGGAGCCCCAGATCGAGGGAGATTATCAGTGGTCTTGTATGTCTTCCATTTCCTAATAATTACTCCCACAGTTGATTTCTTCAAACCAAGCCGCTTACCTATTGCAGATTCAGTCTTCCCAGCCTGGTGCAGGTCTACAATTTTGTTTCTGGTGTCCTTTGACAGCTCTTTGGTCTTGGCCATAGTGGAGTTTGGAGTGTGACTGTTTGAGGTTGTGGACAGGTGTCTTTTATACTGATAACAAGTTCAAACAGGTGCCATTAATACAGGTAACGAGTGGAGGACAGAGGAGCCTCTTAAAGAAGAAGTTACAGGTCTGTGAGAGCCAGAAATCTTGCTTGTTTGTAGGTGACCAAATACTTATTTTCCACCATAATTTGCAAATAAATTCATTAAAAATCCTACAATGTGATTTTCTGGAAAAAAAATTCTCAATTTGTCTGTCATAGTTGACGTGTACCTATGATGAAAATTACAGGCCTCTCTCATCTTTTTAAGTGGGAGAACTTGCACAATTGGTGGCTGACTAAATACTTTTTTCCCCCACTGTATGTATATAACAACATGCACGTTAGAGCGTGACCATATACAGTTATCGGAGCAAATACATCCATCAACAAATACAACCACCAGCAAATACATCCACCAGAAAATACATCCACCAACAAATACATCCACCAGCAAATACATCCACCAGCAAATACATCCACCAACATCTCCCACCAGGCCTGCTCTAGGCTACAAAACAACACCCATACTGTAGTGTATTCAAACACTTCCAGGACTCCAATCATTCCTATCTTCACTTTCATCCCTCTCCTCTCCAGATCTCAGGGCGGACACTGGGGGAGATTGTCCTGACCATCAAGGTGATCAACTGCTCGGTGCGCTCCAAGGGCTCTTGCCCGGTGGTGAGGGACATGCCCTTCAGGCCAGAGGCATGCTCCTCCACTGTGTGCCCCAACAGTACCAGGGTTAGCTTCTCCTTAGAGCTGCTCCAAGACCTGGCCTCCACTAGCTGGGACCTGGAGTGCTCCGTCAAACTCTGCTTCAGCGAGGTATGTAGGTAGAGGAGATATGGGTGGTGGGGGGAAAGAGGGGTATTGCTTTATTGACTTATGTGACAAAATATTTTTCTGTAATTTCTTTTTGTATCTTCCAAATACATTTTTCCATTGAGCATTTATTCATTAAATCTTGATTAAGTTTTTGTCTGACATATTTATTTCAACAGCATAACAGTAGCTATGCTTCTAGTAAGTTTACTTTTATAGTTAGACTGAATATGAAATATCATAAACAGAGTTGATTCTTAAAGTAATAGTGTGTGCCAGCATGTTTCACTAAACAATGTTAATTCTAAGCTGTAGCTTAGTCAACAAACCAAATCTCCAGTGAACTTTCACTTCATCATCAAGGCATTTTTGGTGTTTTGAGTTTACTTTAGTAGTTTTTAGTATCTTTGGCAACAAAGCACACTTAATGATCTGTATGTATCACTCTCTCTTTTGGTAATGTATTGTAGAAATGTGGAGATGGAGGAAGAGTGAAGAGGAACTTGGAGGTCACCCAGACATACATCCCACCACCAAGTGAGTTTAGTTTTAACTACAAAGTTTTAAAGCCTTCCAGCTTTGTTGTTGTAGTGTAATTTGTCCTTCTGGCAACCCCGTCCTTATATTTTCTCTTATCAGCTTTGGCATCAGGCAACATTTACAGTACAAATGATAATCCCATTGTTAGCCCTAAACAGGATTCATAAATTCATATTTGGGTATATTTTAAAACATGACTCTTCTCTGTCATTGAGATGACCCCCAACTTCCCCTATACTGTGCAATCGTTTTTCATTTAGAAAAAAAACAAACAAGATAGTCAAATGAAATCAGCACTAACACTGCTGTCAAATGCAACAATAGGAGAGCCACCGCATTGTCCTCCTCAACCCTCAAGAATTCCTCTATCGGAACATTCCATCATCCATTTCATTCCGGCCACAGCAGAGGCTGGCCAGTCTGTCTGTCCATCTCGGTTGTACTGCCTAGCATCGAGCTCCACTCCAACATTGGGCCCGTCATCATGGCGATGATGAGGTCAGGATATACAGAGAGAGACGGGTCGTGGAGGGGATGTGAGGTGGGGCCTCCTCCTTAGGAAGGCCTGCAGCCTGACCTTGTGGCCACAATCAGCCAGTAATGACCCTTGGGGGGATCCATTGTGTCCGAGGTCTGGCCGCTGGGCCGTCTGTCCAAACATGGGCCCCGGGCCTGGCGCTATTGTCAGAGACAGAGGCCCCGAACACAAAGGGGGGAAGGTGTTACTCTTCAAAGGGAGGACAATCTCCGGGCAGATGAGTCAGGAACAAATATCGCATTCCTCAACCGCTGTATGCCCAGAAGGGAAGCCCATAATCATGTTTTGGCTTACCACATAGCTCCCCAAATTTGGCCAACAAGTTATTTTTTCCTGCAATTTCCTTAGAGGAAGAGGATACAGGTTGGATCATCAGCTCATGTTGATGGTGTTTTAGGCTGATGCTGCCAGGCCCTCACTGCTCATTTTTGTTATTGTGTCCCTGTTTTGTCAGCCAACCCATCATGGTCCCTATGTCATGGAAAGGTAATGTGAGTACGTGGAGGGACTCAGGGACTTGCTGTGATGGAGGATGAATGGGAATCCGTGGCAAGGGATCAACGTTTCCTCCCATTAAACTGCAGGCAACTCCTCATTGACCTCAGCGCTCCTTTCATCCATGCCTGCCCACACAAAACAACTGGAGCCAACCAACTCTCTGACTCTTGGTTGCCTACGGTCATGTAGTCAGTTCCGCTCAGTTCTTCTTCAGAATTCTGGCCAGAGAATTGGAGCTCAGTTGAGGCAGGCTGAGTAATGCTAGCTGCTGCTGGGGGCCTCGCCTGCTTTGATTGGCCAGGATATGGCTCCCCCTCGGCTGTCCTTCCTGTTTGGTAGCTGTCCCCCAGAGGACTCTTGGGAGTCGTAGTGTCGTAGTGCAGGCCTGCTGCTGTTCGTCCCCATCCACCTCCTCCCCAACTGCGACACAGCTTCTACTTCCTGTCCCCGTTTGCTTTTCGGCCCATTCTGGAAAACAAATGTAAAGAATACTTTATAACAGGCTTCTGTTTACACATGGACTGGGACAGGGCCTTTGAGTCTGTAATGCTGTAGTAGATAATTCCCCTCCTATAAAGATAACTTTAATCACTTACAATCTAATTCATGAGATTTTATTGGATGTAGCCTCCACATTAGATTCATTACGATGCCACACAAGCGTTTCATTATGTTGTGACAGCAGAGCAGTGATGGATTTTAATAGGTTGAGGGGATAAATTATCTTTATTATTCTTATAGACTAATGCATGGAAACCATCAATAACAATATTAACAGGCTTGCAGGATGGTGGCAAGAGGTGCAGCCAAACAAACAGAATGCAGTTCCTCATCCTTCCTGCATCCTGTCTTTCCTGTCCTTCAAGAAAATGGTCAATGTTTGTGTAAATAAAATAGAAATTTGAAGACAATCATGGTACCAATAATTGATTCAAATACACCAAATGTATGTCCTTGAACTTCCTTGAACCAATTATTTTAAAACCGCACGCAGAAGAACTTAAGGATAATTTAGTTGCTAATGGCAGCCTGCAGTACCCCGGTCAGCCTTCAACTTGAATTACTCAATGAGAGGTGGCAGCACTGAGCCAGCCTGCAAAGTCACTTCCTGGAGGGTCAGTGATATCGGGGATCCTTGTGACGTCCCTACCCTCCTAACCTTTACACTAACCCTAACCTTAACCATAACCATAACCTAACCTTAACACTTACCTTAACCATTTTAAATATCAACGGGGTAGGGATACTGGATTGCACGGACGCTTCCTGGAGTAGCTCAAACTGCACATGTTATGTCTCCATGAGATGCCATCTTAACTGACTTAATTTGGCTTCAATGAGCTATTGAGTCTTCACATAGGAATGAATGGTGTCACGTGACTGATGGCTTTGTCCATTCATATATACAGTCATTGTTAAGACACAGGATGGCTTCTGCCCAGAGGACTGATGATTAGCTTCCTCCCAAATTCTCAGGATCCATGTTGGAGATTTCAATTTGGGAAGAAGCAGATGTTGGGGAACTTGTGTGTGTGTCTTTGTGTGTGTACGTTTGTGCACGTATGATCACGTGCTTCGATGCACACGTGTTTGTTTGTGTGTGTGTCTGTCTGTGTGTGTGTGTGTGTGTGTGTGTGTGTGTCAGAGGCCTGTGTCAGTGCCAGAGCCTGTTTTCAGCAAAGCAAAGCTGATTTGAGAGTTCCTTCGAGGGAGAGCAATTTTGTCTCAGCCGTTGGCTCAAGAGTTGTTTTGTTTGCTCCTACGTCTGTAATTGCTGGAATGGCTTGTGTGGGACAATGCCACACACAGGCTGCCCAGGGGGCACTGGCAGGGCCAAGCAGTGTGGTCACAAACTTAAATTCACATCGCATGTTGAGAGAGCCAGAAATTCATCACAACAGTGATAACCATTTGTTTCCACAAACAGATTTGGCCTCAATTGTGCAATGTGCTTGAGACAGAGAAAAATGCATGAGCTTGTAATGTTAACTGATTGTGTGCTGAGAAACACTGATATCCATGGATATCCAACGACTCTACTAAACACCCCAATGTGAGACATGCATTCATGTGTTTCTCCTGTGTGTTCTAGTGGCGTGGATTGACTTTGGTCTGTCAGCTGTGCTGGGCATCGCCTTCGGAGGCTTCCTGATCGGAGTTCTGCTCATCGGAGCTCTGTGGTTAATCAAGATCCGCACAGGTGAGGCGTAGTCCACCTATCTCTTTTGTGGTGTTACATTTACATACCATACAAAAGTGTTTTTAAAGGTCTCTTTCTCTTGATTTGAGGTCCCTTTTCATTTAAACGTAATTTTAAAACTGTATTATTTTGTTTTATGGGATCTAGGATACCCCACCGGACTGGATGTAGGGTCGACTGCTGCAAACCTCTCGGGTAAGATGCTAGTCACTGTTTCTGAGTTCTATTTTCCTTGAAGGGGGAATAGTAAAGTAGGCAAACCATATGGATGAGGTAAACCTGTCTCCTCCTCCTTTGCTGATCTTTCTCATGATCACTATCCCTTAATCAACCAACCAATCAGTCAATCAGTCTTTATTATCCCAGAGGCAATTGGTTTGCAAGCTGAAATTGAGTTTGACAAATTGGTTAAAACAATTGGTTAACATAAATAAAATAAAAATCCTTTCTCCCCAGGATGTCCTTGCTCTCTGACCAGCAAACGGCAACCTGTCTCCAACAACCCCTCCCCCTCTGAGAACAGTAGTGCCAACGCCAGCATTGGCAGCACTCAGAGCACGCCAACCAGCAGCATGGCATGACACCATCAGCACCACTGTCTCCCCTCTCCGTCATACTGAGGGGGCTCCATGCTATTTGGTCGCTCTTTCACCATGCTTAAGAAAGCATCACCCCCCTCTCTTTAGTCACACCACAATCACGGCCCCGGCTCCAAGCAACAGGAAAAACAAAGCATATCCCCAAGAACTAACAGGAAATTCACTGCATTCTTTTCAATGAATTGTGCCTCTCTGATAGCGGCACAATAAGAGTCAGTCAGGGGGGAAAAAAGAGACAAAAGATTGACTTTTAAAAACATTATTAGATAAACTGTTTTGCCTCTCAACATCCACAATTGTTGTGATAGGAAATGTCAAGGCCCCTTTTTCCAGGCAATTTAGAGATAGATTCTGGACTGACATCCGTTCTTTCACATTGACTGTAGTTTGAATAAAAAGGTGTATTACTGTATACGGGTGGCTGGAAGACACCATGTCAGATTTAAAGATTTCAGACAGTAAAAAGCTAGAATATCCAATGTTCTCTACCAACACCAAGGGGTATCTGTCTTCATATGATTTAGGAAAGATTGGGAAAAGGCTACCTCTTAATTTATGTAGATGTCGGATTGTTAAGTATAAGCTTGACAATGGGTTCTTCTGATGAGCTAGTGAGATAATTGTTTTTGTTTCTCTCTTTCATTCCATTTCACTTGAGTTACATCATATTGTTTTCCTCCGAGGCGTGTCTTACATACAAGCAGAATTTATATTTATTTTCAATGTTACACTATATATACAAAAGTATGTGGACACCCCTTCTAATTAGTGGATTCGGCTATTTTAGCCACACCTGTTGCTGACCGGTGTATAAAATCAAGCACACAGCCATGCAATCTCCATAGACAAACATTGGCAGTACTGAAGAGCTCAGTGACTTTCAACGTGGCAGTTAGTCAAATTTCTGCCATGCTAGAGCTGCCCCGGTCAACTGTAAGTGCTGTTATTGTGAAGTGGAAATGTCTAGGAGTAACAACGGCTCAGCCACGCAGTAGTAGGCCACACAAGCGCACAGAATGGGAACGTTGAGTGCTGAAGTGCGTAGCGCGTAAAAATCGTCTGTCCTCGGTTGCAACACTCACTACCGAGTTCCAAACTGCCTCTGGAAGCAATAACTGTTCGTCGGGAGCTTCATGAAATGGTCGAGCAGCCGCACACAAGCCTAAGCTCATCATGCGCAATGCCAAGTGTCAGCTGGAGGGGTGTAAAGCTCGCCGCCATTGGATTCTGGAGCAGTGGAAACGCGTTCTCTGGAGTGATGAATCACGCTTCACCATGGCAGTCTGACGGACAAATCTGGGTTTGGCGGATGCCAGGAGAACGCTACCTGCCCCAATGCATAGTGCCAACTGTAAAGTTTGGTGGAGGAGGAATAATGGTCTGGGGCTGTTTTTTATGGTTCGGGCTACGCCCTTTAGTTCCAGTGAAGGGACATCTTAACACTACAGCATACAGTGACATTCTAAACGATTCTGTGCTTCCAACTTTGTGGCAACAGTTTGACAATGTCCCTGTGCACAAAGTGAGGTCCATACAGAAATGGTTTGTCAAGATCGGTGTGGAAGAACTTGACTGGCCTGCACAGAGCCCTGACCCTCAACCCCATCGAATACCTTTTAGATCAATTGGAACGCCGACTGTGAGCCAGGCCTAATCGCCCAACATCAGTATCCGACCTCACTAATGCTCTTGTGGCTGAATGGAAGCAAGTCCCCACAGCAATGTTCCAACATCTAGTGGAAAGCCTTCCCAGAAGAGTGGAGGATGTTATAGTAGCAAAGGGGGGACCAACTCCATATTAATTCTTATGAATTTGGAATGAGATATTAATCGAGCAGGTGTCCACATACTTTGTCATGTAGTGTACTTTGGAGACTTAGAAATGAGTTGGTTTTATAGTAATTTAAAAAAATATAATAATTATCTGAAATTGCATTATGTCTAGAGACACATTTCACTGTCCTCAATGCAAATCAAAGTCAACACCAAAGCAAAAGTTGTTACCAAAGAAATTGCGAGAAATTTGTAAAGATGAAAAAAAGATTGAAAGTCAAAATGATTGAACTCAAGAATAACTATGTGGCATTATTGTAATTTAGGGTGAAATTATTTATGTCAAGTGCCAAGAAAAATGGAAATCAGATGTGATAAATCTTTGAACCGTAAGTGTAAATCCATTCTATGTGTAAATGTACAAATGTAAATGTATTTTGATTGTATTGCCTTTTTTTACCTCTTTGAAATTGCTCTCACAATACAAAGTAAAACCTTGTGGTTATGACCTGGTGGGTATAAAGACATTCCCTTCAAACATTCCATTCAGCCATGTCTCTTAAAGAAACAGCAATACTGTACCAAAAGTATACAGTATTTATATAAAATGTAATGTTTTTATTGTAATGATTGTACTAGGTATTTTATAGTTCAATATGCCAATGTACAGAGACAAAGAGTCTAATGTATATTTGTTAAGCAGTTAATAATTAATTTGTAATTAATTTGTTTTGATACCATCACCAAAAGCAGCAATCTTAAAACCAAGTGAGCTCCTCAACCCAGCACTGTGTTTTTAATGGCCCAACGTGTTTTTGTTTTCATCTGAAAAATGATGTAGCTAATAATGCATTGTGTGAGTGTTTCTGTGCGTATGTGCGAGTGAGTGCATGCATGCAGGTGTGCATATGTGTGTGTGTTTGTGCATACAGGCGTGTGTGCATGTGTGTGTGAATGTACTTTAAGATGTGTACACTCAGAGGAAAACAATAGAAATTGCCACCTGAGTATTTGTGCAATATGATGAGTTAATTCTGTATGTAATGTCCATGCAGTTTATTTTGTAGAAGTGTTGTTTTATATATTCTTATTTTATCAATTCTATAGCTTCTGTGTTATTTTCTATATTTTCCAAAGAACTGGGACTATTCCCTATTGTGGCACTTATTGAATGCACAGTTTTTTACTTGTATTAATTTGTAACCAGATGGCCATAGATTTATACTTTTTATATTCCAGTTTAAATCCTATGATTAGTTTTGTTCTTATTAATTTCAATAAACATCATTAAAACTACCATCAAGTAGCTAAAGCCAAACTTCAGAGCCCACATTACTGGTGTTATGTTAACATTTGTTGTTGCCCTAACTTATTCTGTTCAACTTTTCCCTCACCCTAAACCCCCTTCCATACAATAACAAAAGCTATCTTCTCTGATTCGAGATACCGTGTACAGAATCACCCTCTGTTTGTTATATTGCCTGCTGCTGGTGTGATAGGCTGATGCATTCCATTTGTAATACTGTGGACCAGGTCCCAGCAGCACTTAATTTTGTTGGGGGTACAGAAACTAACCTCATCCACCACCAATATGCAACACCCACCTGATGCAAAGCAGCCATTGTGAGCTAAAACCTTTAACTCACGACAGTCAGTGAATGTGTGGCGTCCCCCTGAGCTGAACCTCCAAACAGGCAAGCAGCAGTGGATTGAGGGAGAGTTGTAGTATCAGACAGTCAGTGACAGCTAGGCTCTTTGTGAGTACTGACAGAACACAGAGTAAATCAGATGGGCTGTCAGTTAATCCAGTTGTTAACCCAGCAGATTCCTGCATGACCTCTGGCTCTGACTTCCTCTGCTCAGAGATGCACACATGCCAAGCAATCTTCCACACACTGCATGTTTTCCTGTTCTCACAATAATAGACACTCGCAAAGTGAGGCAAGCAGATAGAGTATGTGTGTTTAAGACAGTGTATGTGCATCTGAGAGTGTGTGTATTCGAAAGGTGTCTATTTCAATCCAGAAAGGAGAGGGACTCTTTGTTATTGAGTGATCAACTCAACGCAGCTCTCGAGATGGGATGCTCCCAAATATACAAGGTCTACGTGGGGAAGCAAAATGTAATCCAGTATTTTTGTAATCACATGCAATGGGAGTCATTCAAACAAGCTGATCACTTTTTTATGCATTATGACAATCAGTTTGTATTGCTAGTAGTATGGGTTGGGATTATGGTTCATTGTTTAGCTAGCTAGCTACATGTCTAAACAAAATACTTCACTTCGCCAGATGATTACATGACCCATCAAGTTAGCCAGGTGTGTCTGGGGGTGATTATGGCCATCTATTGTATTTCATGAACATGTGTACGTCTAGACAATAGTGACCCATCCACTTAGCTAGATGTGGCTGGGGGGTGGTTATAGCATTTCTTTCAGATGACCCATCAATTTAGACAAGTGTGTCATTTAATAATAATAAAATATGTATAAATACTTTTCTGGACCCTTTCTATTTTTTAAATTGCTATTATTCAAGTATGCAAATAACCATTTCACTCTACTGTTTACACCTGTATCCTGTGCATGTGACAAATCAACTTTTGATTTTATATAGTGTGTGTAATGTGAAGAACAATGACCTGCACCAAAGTCAGATTAGGATATAGGCCAAGGACTAGATAAAGTGTATTTTTACCTGGAGTTTTTCGTTATTGTATGCTACTCCTTTAACCACTTTTAGTCTTGAAATCTTTGGTTGTTTACTACACTACCTTACTCACTCTGTTAAGCACATGGCCTCACATGTGAATCTTTAAAGAGATGGGTGGGCCTAAGGCTTAAGAAGGTGTGAATGATGCTACATAGGTGTAATCAAAGAAGAGCTCTCCAGTAGGTGTATCAAAACATTCAAGGGCCTTTTTCTTAAAAGTGGGTTTACAAGTTTATCAACTTTCAAATAATTACTTTCCCATTGTTCCTCAACTGCAGTGTATGATATTCAGTTTTGTACCTCTGGGTCTCTACTTTTATCCAATGTAAAAAACACAATTTCAAATGTTACTACATAAGATCGAATCGAGGTAGTCGGTCAAATATTTTGCAACTAATAGAGTACATACAACCTGAATTCATTACAACTCCCCTGGAGAGACAGGAAGAATAAAGTGGCCAAGTATCTAAACTCTAGCTAACTATTAAGTCA